CTGGAGAATCTGAGATAACAAGGTGTAGAGCTGGATGAACACAGCAGCCAAGCAGCATCAGAGGAGCAGGAAAGCTGACGTTTCGGGCCTAGACTCTTATTCAGAAATGAAGAAGGGTCTAGGCCCGAAACGTCAGCTTTCCTGGTCCTCTGATGCTGCTTGGCCTGCTGTGTTCATCCAGCTCTACACCTTGTTATCTAAGATAAGATTCATAACTGATCTAACCATTTTAGCAGATCTAAATAGACTTAAACTGTATTAAGCACACAGACTATTTTAATAAGTACATTACTTGCTGGATGAGCAACTAGTGATAATTGCTGCGTGATTTGTCAGGAGTATCAGATCAAGAAGAATGATTGTCTCTATGCCTGGGTGAATTTGAGTGTTTTGAGTTGCCCAAAAAAAATCTTCAATACAGTCAGGTTAGCCTAAAAACAAAAGAAGTCTGATTTGAAATATTTTTCAGAAAGCAAACCATCTACTGCACTTGCCCACAACACACTTTTTTCTCTCTGGTTTTGTTAAACATAAGTTTTTATTTAAATGCTCAAGCTTCAACTCTGAAACTTTTTTAAAAAAAATTTGCTTCAATTTCTATTGTCCATTTTTACTTTACAGCTTATGACCAAATCAAACCCCTTCAAAATATATCAAGTAGATAGCTTAGACCCTAACTTTTTATCTTATTTACAAGCAAGTGTGAGGTGCTGTAATTCAATTGGCCACGCGACTAAACTTTAAGCAAAACATACTTTGTTCTTACAATATAGTTAAACTACAAACAAAAGAAAGAATCAGTATAATTTTAACTCTATTGAACAACTTAACAGAATAATAGATGATTTAATTACTAAACAGCAACTGTTCCAATGTAATAATATCCCATAAACACCCCCTTGGCAAAGGCAAATTCAGTAAAATAGATTGTCTTACAATTTCTCCAGTCCAGGAGGAAAGAACACCAGAAGAAAATTCTGGCAGATGTATGGATGGTAGCTTCCACAAACAACTTAAATCCCAACAATTGAAAAGTAAACTAAAACCCTGCTTCTGTGGGAGCCGGCATCTACCCATTCATGATGCTTCTCTTGTTCTAACTTTATCTAAACAAAACCCAGGCCTCTCAAACTGCTTACCTTATTGGGTCAAAGAGAGAGCTCAGTACCACTGTCTTAAAATCTCTCTCCAAACAAAAGGACAAAATACACTTCTAAAAGCTCTTGTATTGTCACAAGCAGTGTTATTCAATGAAAAAATGCCTTGACTTTTCTTTGGTAATCAATCAAGAATGATCTGGTGTGTTGTTGCACAGAATATAGAATTGCTTGTTCCACAGATACTTGGTAAATGCAGAGGAAACTTAATGCAATTTATGAAATAATACAATTCTGATTATTACTTTCACAAGCAACTAAAAAGTTTGAGTTTTCTCAGCTTGACTGCTTTTGAAAATTTTGAATACTTAAGTGATAATAAGGGGAGATTAATCTCCCTACAATCTGGGAAAAGTCAGATGGGCAAACTTTGCCCTGGATGTCTGAGGGATCCATCAATAAAGGGGATCTTGCCTGACTAGTCAAGCGGAAGGAGCGTGTCAAGGTCACACCTTTGTCTCTTTAGGGACCAGTCCAGTGTGGAAGACTGCCATAGTCAGGGACGTTTGTGTCCACCAGCTCAGGGTCTGCCCCTCACCAAATCCAACCTATCTCCCTTGCAGAGGGTGAGCACCAACTCTCTGATACCTCCTCCTACCTTCCCCTGGACCATGACACATCAGGCCATTGTATCCACTATGGTAACTGATCTAATTTAATCCGATGTTTGCACCTCGCCCCCCCCACCCCGCTTCCAAGCTTATAGTCCCCCAACCCCGCTCAGCTCGTTTCTACCTCCTGCCAAAAATCCACAAACAGGACTATTGGGCAAACTCATTGTTTCAGCCTGCTCGTGCTCCACAGAACTCATCTCTTCCTACCTTGACTCAGTCTTCTTCCCCCCACCCCGGTCCAATCCCTGCCTATATATATCCATGATTCCTCTGACGCCTTGCATCAGTTTCAAAACTTCCAGTTTGCCAGTTCCAGCTGCCACCTCTTTACCATGGACATGCAATCCTCTTACGCGTCCATTCCCCACCAGGAGGGTCTTAGGGCTCTCTGCTTCTTCCAGGAGCAAAGACCTGAACCATCACCACCCTCCTCCGCTTGGCCAAGCTTGTCCTCCCCCTCAACAACTTCCCTTTCAACTCCTCTCATTTTCTTCAGGTAAGAGGGGTTGCTATGGGTACCCACATGAGCCCGAGTTATCCCTGCCTCTTCAAATGTCCGTGGAACATTCCTTGTTCCAGTCCTATTCTGGCCCCCATCCACAACTCTTTCTCCGATACATCGATGATATCATCGGTGCTGCTTCCCTCTCTCGTCTGGAATTGGAAAACTTCATCAATTTCGCCTCCAATTTCCACCCTGCCATCATGTTCACTTGTTCTATCTCTGACTCCTCCCTTCCCTTTCTTGACATTTCTGTTTCCATTTCTGGGGATAGACTGGCTACTAATATCCACTATAAACCCACTGACTCCCACAGCTATCTGGACTATACATCCTCACACCCTGCTTCCTGTAAAGACTCCATCCCATTCTCTCAGTTCCTCCATCTCCATCGCATGTGTTCAGATGAGGCCAACTTTGACAAGGGTGCCTCTGAAATGTCCACTTTCTTCCTCAGCCAAGGATTCCCCACCTCCATTGTTGACAGGGCCCTCAATCAGATCTGACCCATCTCCCGCACTTCTGCCCTCACCCCTTCTGTTCCCTCCCGCAACAGCGATAGGGTTCTCCTTATCCTCACCTATCGTCACACCAGCATCTACATCCAGAAGATCATCAGACACCCTTTCCCCCACCTCCAGCGAGATGCCACCACCAGACACACATTCCCCTCCCTTGTCCGCCTTCCACAGGGACTGTTCCCTCTGGGATACCCTGGTCCACACTTCCTTCACCCCCAACACCTCCCCACAGCCCTACGACACCTTCCCCTGTAACTGGCGAAGGTGCAACTCCTGCCCATTTACCTTCTGCAACCCCCAGTATCCAAGGGCCCAAACGTACCTTCCAGGTGAAGCAGCACTTCATCTGCACTTCCCAGAATATAATGTACTGCATTCGCTGCTCACAATGTGGTCTCCTCTATACTGGGGAAATGAAGCGTAGGCTTGGTGACAGCTTCGCAGAACGTTTACATTCTGCTCGCAAAAAAGACCCTGAACTACCTGTTGCCTGCCACTTTAACACACCACCCTGTTCCCTAGCCAACATCTGTCTCTGGCTTGCTGCAGTGTTCCAGCAAAGCCCAACGCAAGCTGGAGGAACAACACCTCATTTGCCACTTGGGGACCCTACAGCCCTCCAGACTCAATATTGAGTTCAATAATTTTAGAGCCTAAACTCTCCCCTCTCCCAGACCCCTACCCCAAACATCAGGCCTTGTTACCACATAGCCTGCCATTACACACCCCCTCTTGTTAGTCACTAACAGCCCCCATTAACAACTATTCACCCTCCCAGCCTGATCGTTAGCAACTCCTTTGTCTGTCCAACTGTCTTTCTCTCCCTTTGGGCTCTATCCTATTGTTTTACTCCCTACCCCACCCACCACCCTATTTTCTGCATATAAAGTGACATTTTCCCAGCCATTATCAGTTCTGAGGAAGGGTCACCGGACCCAAAACATTAACTCTGATTTTTCCTTCACAGATGCTGCCAGACCTGCTGAGCTTTTCCAGCAACTTTGTTTTTATCTGAAGGCAGCCAAGTCACCCAGGGGCTGGGTCACAGTCATCCCATTGTCCCTATTTGCAGAAATTAAGGGGGAAGAGGGGCTTGGTGAAGATTGGACAGGTAGGCAGTTGTATTGGCATGTACGTGGCATGGTGAAGTGTAAAGTCTGGAGAGGAGAGCATGCTGTTTGGGATCTCAGCTGAGGCTGAGCGATATTGACAAAGGACCACTTGCTTATCTGTGTTCTTCACAAATGGAAAGGCAGCAAGCAATGTTGAGAAGAACCGTTGCAAAGAGGCTCTCTGTGGGTGAGATAAGTGAAACAACTCGAGAGGGAGAAGCCTGCAGCTGGTCATTGGGCCTTCACATGGGGTCAATATTGTCCTGCAGCACATTAATGGCAACGCAGACATGCAGGGTGCCTACACGCTGGCCATTGTGCAACATTGACCATCTCTTTGTACTGCACCTCACTGTCACTGCTTAAAGAAAAAGCTTCCTGAGATGGAAACTTCTGTACCCATGGGCATGATGAGGAGAAGGGTTGGGCAATTCCAAGCTACCCTGCTTCCGCATGATGTATTTGTGATCCATAGTACATCCCCAACTGTTGAGTTTTTTACACTTTGTTAATGGGCAAGGAGTAATGTCACAGGGTTTAATCAAGCACCTACAGGTAAAACCAATCAAGGGATAACCACATGAATGGTGAAACGCTAGGGTTTATGAAATGTAATAACCATTGAAGTAACACTGTTTGTTTGTAAACCAAACTTTCAACAT